GCATGTTGAGCAGGAGTCGATATCCGTGGATGTCCTCCCGGTTTCGACACACACACACAAACACTCGCACGAAGCTGGCATGGCAAGAGAAGGTCCCGAGCTTGGGTTTAGGGTTTAGGGTCTACTGGCCACTGGGGTGCAAGGTAGGAAGCAACAAAACTAAGCCATGATGAGACCTACGGCACCAAATCCCGTAAATCCCGTAGCCCTATGTCCATTGTATTTGGAATCTAGAACTCCAAAGCCCAGCGACCGGGCCATCCACCGAGTCAGACTACTGAAAGCCGCATCTGCAAGTATGTGCCCTTCCCCCTGTGCCCACCTCGGCATCAGCTGCCGTGCACCCCAACCTCACCAGAGCGATGTGCTTATGGCAACTAGGACAAGATGCTGCGTTGGGTTTGCAAGTTTAGAAATGCTCGGAGTCTGTGGGTCTAGCTTTTGGAATTTGGTGTGTCACCGGTTTGACGACTCCAATCCGGCTTGAGACATCTCAGCCTCTGTGCAGAGATCAGCCAGCCGTAACCAGCCAAGGAGTATGGGTACCAAAAAATTGGAGTTTTACACCCTCGCAGCCTCAACGGAACGCCCAACAACAAGCTGAATCCTGCTCCGCAGTCATAGGATGCATGATCCCACTCTCTGAGATCTTGGCCGATAAGGTCATGTTTCACCCACTCCCAGAGCCTTGATGGGGCTATTGGATAAAGGTCTTCGGCTGCGTACGATTGCGGGGGTTTCAGAAGTCGATGTCTGTTGACAGCCTCACGGGTTCGAGTTCTCCATGCTTCCGATCCCAGATCAGCTGCGTCGCTGAAGGGTAAAGCCGTGCTTGCTGCTCAGAGATACCATAAGTACTGCTATGGGTATACGGTATAGCTATAGCTACACTATCGTCTCGTGATCATAGGGCTGTTCGCTTGGATGGCTGCCCTCCCGTGCTAGGTACGACCGTTGCCGAGCGCCTGCATCCGGAGCACACTTTTTCGATGCACACAGCGAAACAATTCCACTTTGCGGTTGACTTGTCAGCGACCGTGTGATGAATCGAAATCCAGACCTCTAAGCCCGCAGCAATTTCCCTTTAAATCCTAATCCCCAATAGAGGCCGAAGGCACTTCAGGCGGTTGAGGCGGTCAAAGTTCCGACGCTTTTCGAAGACTGACACCTAATAAGCAAAAAGGCTTCGGCATCGGCTTCTCCACTCTGCATCTACACTTAGAACTGAGATTTATGGTCGAGGGATTCTGCAGACTACTATACCTACGAATATCTCCAGATGGGAGGGGCAACCCTTTCGTATCACGAAATTGACAAGGTCCTTCATGTTCTTCTCGCTAAGGGAAGAACGACAACCAGATTCATTCGTCCCATCTCAGATCGACCGGATTCGGTCAAGTATGTCAATGCAGCAACTTAGCAGGAAACCGTCCTGAAACCCTTCACGGCCTGGGGCTCACCTGTAAACCCTAAACCAAAGTGCCAAACCCTAAGACCTGGATTAGCCGATAAGGTCAACTACCTGGCTTGCAACTCTCCAAACGCGCAAACAAGTTTGTCACAATGCTGCCAAATACCCCGTCCAGTATGCAGAAGGAACCTTGCGCATGCCTTACAGACATACTTTGCTACAAGAAGTACACCCTAAACCCTAAACCCTATATAAACCCTAAACCCTAAACCCTAAACCTACAGGCTGCAACTACAGTGACTGATGGGAGATTGTCGTCGCAGTCGCCCAGGCCAAAGAACTCATCTTCTCTAACACAAGAGCCGCCCTTCCTGTCTGCAATCTTGCACGAAGATCTATACTGATACATCTGGGATTCTCAATCTCGCTTCAGGTACCCTGAAAATTCTTGCGGTAGAAAAAAATAAAATATAGGGGCCTCATAATACTTGAACTAGGGTTCTGGGGCCCATTATACTATATAACTGTAATAGGGAACCCCCCCAAAACAGTCTAGGTAGTTATTTTGGCCCCTACATAACCCCACAAAACCAATCGGAGGCCTGGGCGCCCAAAGCCTTGAGCTCTAAGGCCGATCGAAGACCAACAGGGCCTGGCTTGAAAACTTCTTCCGAGTGCGTGGCAAGTACCTGTAGTCTCCATTGTAGTTCCTTTTTTTGGTTTAGTGTAACCAAATATATCAGAAGGATTTTATAAGGTATCCCCAAAAAAGGAACTACAATGGAGACTATAGGTATTTTCAGGCGGCGAATTGAAAGGTTTGTAAAAGATGCTTCTTCTCGATGGTTTCTATAGGAACTCATGACGGGTTTAGGTTTTAGGGTTTTTTTGGCAGCACAATCAGTCTCAGCGCGCCGCCTGTGCTCTTCCACATCCCTACTGACTTGGCCACTTCACTCGGGATGGGCGCAGAGAAACGAAACAAACCACCAAAGGCACTGCGCTAGGGTTAGGGGGGATCACAATTAAATGGCTTTCGAGGCTCTTCAAGATCTATAGGACTGGGGTTCTGGCTCATGCGAAAAGTACGGGAGTTGGACCTGTCTTTGTCTCTGGGTGTCTCCTGGCTTGTGTTGTGAAGTCTCTTGTTGGCGTGGGCGAAAGCCCTGGCGAAGAGGCGCAGACTCCCAGAGGCAGAAATGCGGGAAGCGGTGCAGAGGTTCTGGGAAGTTAAGAGAACCCGCATGAGGCCATAACTCGCAGTCGTGCATGGGAGACTTGAGACTGACCATCCAAATCAGGTCAGCGAGGACATCAGGTCCAAAATGCGCCGGAAGCTGCGTCACCCTGTTAAAGCCTTACGGGTAATTACCCGTGAACCTGGCCTAAATGCTTGCCACGACGGTTTGATACAACAGACACCACTCCGACTGTCAACATTCCTGCCTGCCCCGCAAATGACGCAACGGACGTTCTGCAAAGGCTTCACGGTGTATCCTTAGTTCGTCAAAAACCTGAACCCGCCCAAGAAGCGGAAGGCAATGCAGAACCCAGTTTCTGCTGGTAAATATTGAACACCTCTCTCTTATCAGCTATGAAAGAACTTCTTCGAAGATGGGACGACTACTGGACTGTCACCAGCCCCTCAACCCTCTAATCCGACTTTTGGGGGAGACGCATGAGAGGGGAGCAGGGCTCAGGGGGTCTCATGGTGTCCATGCTCCGGTCAAGACAGCAAAAGGCAGTCCTTTGCCACGGCAAGAATCACAAAGACAAGAAACAGCTGACCATGAAGACTTTGATCATGAAGCCAAAGACACAACATCTCTATATGGGTTCAGTCTGTAATCGCTCTTGAGCTTCAAAATGCTGCCCTGCCCAGGCCATGTCCATGATTTGCCAGGATTCGGCCATGCTTGAGCGCCACCCCCTGCTCCGACAGTCGCCTTCGGTGTCTGCACTGGCAGTCCAAGGTTGACGGCGGTGCAGGCTTTGGAATGGGACGCCTACCTATAGTCTCCATTGTAGTTCCTTTTTTTGGTTTAACCAAACATATATTAACGAGTTTATAAGGTATCCCCCAAAAGGAACTACAATGGAGACTATAGGTAGGTTCGCATCTTCTCAAAAAATGTGTGGGGTCCGATGAGGCTCTGAGTTCAATCGCTGCTGTCGCGTGCCGCCCCGCCGCTTTTCCCCCGCCAGCAGTTGCAAATGTCCTGTACACTGTACAAGAAACTTGGGGCTTTCCGAGAATAGGGGACCCTAATATAGTACCCTAAATAGTAGGATCCTTATTATAAGGACCCCAAGAAAAGGGGACCCTAATATAGTACCCTAAATAGTAGGATCCATATTATAAGGGCCCCAAAATAAGGAGAATAGGGGACCCTAATATAGTACCCTAAATAGTAGGATCCATATTATAAGGGCCCCAAAATAAGGTACCCTAACGGTCGGAAACTCCCACTTTGAACCTACCCAAAGTGGCGCCTTCTCGTGGGGCCTTGGATTCTGCGTCGAAGTTGCTTGCAAACCCGCGACGAAGCAGAACCCAGATATGCAAGGGCGTCAAAGCAGCGAGATGCTCTCCGCGCCGCGCACTGCGTTGTGCAAGTGCTGCGGTGGACCGCTGTGATTCGGGGCTGGACTTGAGGTAACCTGAACGTGTTCTCACTTTCCCAAAGGGTCTAAGTACTAATATGGTAGATACTTTGGGGCCCAAAATACCTACTACATGGGTACTTAGACCCTTTGGGTTTGAGATCACCAACGTAGAAATTCTCGAACTAATTCAGCGAGCTGGGACCTCCCTCTTCAGACTGCAGCTTGACCCTCCTTTCTTGCAGCTGCCCGAAGCCGTTCATCTGACTCCCAGACGCACTGCTCCCAGTCCTTGCGTGCTCCTATAGTGAGCCCCAGAAAGTTGGAACAGGGATGTAGGATGATTAGTGCTGGGATCCCTTTTACGATCCCTTAGGGGCATGAGGATATTGACGTTCCAAGGACCAAGTTTCTGGCTTCTACTATATTTCTGATGGCATCACAATGACTACAATGGTGACTTCGCAAAGGTGCATTCTTGAATGGAATCCAAGACTCAACGTTCCACAGAAGGATGCCGAAAAGGAAAGTTACGAGGCCTGTGCCGATGGGCATGGAAAGCCACATTCCCTGGACGCCCATGTGGCAGGGCCAGGTCATGGTACAGCCAGCAGGGAGCATGACGAAGTATAGGGAAAACAAGTAGACCAATACAGGTGCCTTCTGCTTTCCCATGCCACGCAGTGTGGAGCCAATTACATTAGAGATGTTGTCGGGATAACCAGCCAATAGATATATGGCAAGCAGCGTCTGCACCACGGACTGCAAAGCTGCATCTGATGTGAGCAGATGCGCGACAAGCCCCTTCGTCAGCAGCACAGTGATCGCTAGGCAGGTCCACATCAAGGCATCGAAACCTACGCAAACCCAAGCCAAACGTTTTGCCTTCCTGGGCAGCCGGGCCCCGATGGCATTTCCCACAACCGTGGATGCAGCTTCTCCCAGCGCGATGCTGGGCATGACAAGTATGGTCACCATGTTCATGGTGGCTACATGGGCTGCCAAGGCTGTAGGCCCCAAGTAGCCTACAAGAAGTGCGCAGATCTCCCAGAACCACCACTCGCTGCACATCTGCAGAGTGGTGGGGATCGCGACTGCCAAGTATGCTCTCCAATGGCGGAAGGCCTCCGGCTGCAGTCCCAACAGCTCCTGCGCTACAGAACTCCAGCTGCAAAGCCCTTGCAACCTTTCGCTGAAGGGCTTACGGCTTCACTAGACTTCGCTTGCATCTCCACGAAAAGTTTATCGGCCCTCCTGTGAGTTAGACTTGTGCTTCTCGCACCCAGATATATAGACTCGTGATACGAACTCAGGAAAAGCGCTGATAGCAAGCAATGCAACAACAGCAAGGATACTTACTATGGTCCTGAATAGCAGCGGGAGTTCATCACGATAGCGATGACTGATGAAGACCGACCATCGCCACATTAGGCAATATTCTCAGGATTACTTTTTGTTTGCAATGTTACATGGCGTTTTGAAATTAGTCAGTTTGGGAATCGCAGCCCGTCCTGCCAAGAGGCATTCAGCTCCGGGGCTTTGCATACGAGGTAGCCGGATGCAATGAGCCACTGTAGGGTCCAAGTCGTGGCGTTGGCGATGCCTTGAGATAGATTTAGGGTTGTAGGGTTTAGGGCTAGTCTAGAGTCTCTCTAAGCCAAACAGACCAGTTTTGAGAGTATAGGGCTTGGGGACTATAGGTTCCCACACCCCACCTAGCCGCCACAATGAAGTCCATTCACAAGTCGGCAACTGTGAAAGCACCCCAGCAACCAAGCACGATGTAAGGCATAATACCCGGGCGACCTCGTACATGCGTGCTTCAGAAACCCCGGCGCCTGCACCCAGGTTTCCCCAGCCCAAGGCCACCACGAAGAGCACTGCCCAGACGACGTGGAGGAGGCTGGTGATGCCGGTAATCCTCGGCCCAAACCCTCCAGCACCAAGAGAAGCATATCCCAAATGAATACGCAGCTCTCTATGTCTCCCTCCCTCCCTCCCTCTCTCTCTCTCTCGCGCGCTTCGGTTCGCTTCGTTTCAGGGCTTGAGCCACGCGCATGTCCCCCTCCCCGCTTTCTATATGAACGTACGGCCATGTACATGCCCAAAGTTGTGTGCCAAGGTTCCTACACACACACACACGCGCGCGCATGCACATCTTGCTGCTACAGAATCTCGGGTATGCAAGCATCCCTATTATTGTTATCGACTGAGAATCAGCCCCCGACTTAGGATGGAAACTCACCCCGGAAACCTTGATGCACGAGAACAGATATTGCACATGGACTGGGTTGTGTGATTTTGGTCTAGGGTATCGCCTGTTGTTTCGCGATGGTATAAAAAGCAAGAACGAGGCTCTCAACCGGATCCTTCTGCCGGCTAACTTAGACGGCCAACTAATTGGAACAGTATTTTCGGATAGACGGTACAGCTTAGTCTGCAGTCTACAGTACAGTTATTACATATACATATTATATATATATATATACATACATGAACCACTGCGTTTATTTAAGGCTTGGGCTACTTACACTGTCTCGAAGCGGTGCCCCTATCTCGTTTTATCATGTTAAGTGCTGGCAGAAATTCTCCATCTCGTTCGCGTAACGTGAGAAGCAGCTCTTTCAATACTGCAACCTAATGCTGTTACGATTGCTGATCGTACTAGTAGTCCTAGTCCAGTCGTGGTCGTAGTAGTAGTCGTCGTCGTAATAGTAGTAGTAGTAGTAGTAGTAGTAGTAGTAGTAGCAGCGGTAGCAGTAGTAGTAGCAGTAGTATTGAACGGGACATGGGTTTGTATGGCCGACTCCGTCAATGATTTGGAAACCGTGTTGATCTCGTTTCCTATCTCGTTTCGATTCGACTATATCACACTCAAAATGGCCGTGACTCTACATCGTGCCGTCGGAAAGACTTGCCTATGAGTAACTACAAGCACTCCCTCCCAATGAAGGGTCTATGACAGAACAGATAACAGATGTGTGTGTATGCCAGAACCCCTAGCCGAAGCCACTCCAAACATATATGTCAAAACAGAAAAGTACCAGCGGTCCCTCCGAAAGCAGTGTCTATAACAATATCATGACGCACAAACGTCGCTTCCAGCTTCGACTTCAGATAGTAATAGGACTGCATTGTGTCATATATGTGCTTGATCTCGTTTTATGCAGTGCCCCTATCTCGTTCGCCTAGCACAGCGAGTTCCGACAAATAAACGTTTTAGACAACTGTAGTATACGCTCATACAGAGGGACTACGGGGGATGTAGAGTCTTCAGTCTACAGTATGGTTTAATACATACATACGAACCTATATATATATATATATATATATTATATGTATATATATATATATATACACAGAGAGGGACTACAGGGGATATCTCCGTCTGTCGGCTTTCGGGCTCACCCCTGTGAGCCCGAGAACCCCGATGCAAGGCAGAGCTCCACATTGGCTGTGGGACGGCAACATTCCGCACGTAGGAAAGGATACCCTGAAACCTGGGCTGGGTCTGCCGAGCAGCGTTCTACTTACAACCGGCTTTTGACCTAACAAAAAATGCAGAACACAACTGATCCATATATCGTGGGAGCCATAAGCCCCGAACACGGAAAACACACAAACAATAAAAGAAGGCTCTTAGCCTTGAAGCTAAGCCCGGAGAGCCGCAGTTCGCAAGCCGAGAGCTCTAGGACCCCCAGAGCTCCAGGGTCCAATCCCAATATGGGTTTAGGCTCTGCGCACTCGCAATATGGTTGTAGGCTTCAGGGTTTCTACGCGGTGCCCCATCAAAAACATCGTATCCATCTACAGTATCAGCTCTCCTTCTCCGCAAAGAGCCCCTCGAGGCCATGGCCCCCTGCAGTGCAGCTTAGCCTGTAAGCCCTGTTGAAACCAGACTTGATTACTTAAACCCTAAACCCTACTTGGAGGTCCATGGGTAGTTATATATGGGGTTATAAGTATAGAATAACTATACTTATAACCCATATTAGGGGACTTATAACCCCACTTATAACTACCCATGAACCTCCAAGTAAGCATGGACGCCCAACCCCCTTGCCTCAGTCCTGCAGTGCAGGGCTCCTATTTGTGATTGCGGACAGGGCACTCCCCTCGGGTCTTCTTATACTGGCAGCGTATCATCATATGATTCTAGTCTATTATTTATTATAGTATAGTGACATAATAGTACATCGATATTTTTGCATGAGGACAATATAGTATTTTCGCTTCAGCCTGAAACCTAACCAAACCCTAAACCCTAAACCCTAAACCCTGAACCCTAAACCCTAAACCCTAAACCCTAAACCCTAAACCCTAAACCCTAACCAAGAGGCTGGAAGTTTCCAAGGAGACCCAGGGATGCTGCCCGGTTGTACGCGGCAGCGTGCCTTCTGAAGAGTTTAGGGATTAGGGTTTAGGGTTTAGAGGGGTCGAAACGAGCAGCACTCGGAGGTTCATGGGTAGTTCTAAGTGGGGTTATAAGGTTCCGTTAAAGGGTTCCGTAGGGTTTTGGGTTTAGGGTTCATGGGTAGTTATAAGTGGGGTTATAAGTAGGGTAAGTATACTTATAACCCATACCCATGAACTGCCAAGTAGGAGCGGGGGGATTGGGGATCATCCCGGGCTTGAGCAGTCTCTCCGGTAGGTCAAATCTCATTTCGGGGTGGAGGTCTTCTGAAGGTCTAGGACAACCAGGGATTGGGGATGCTGGAGACCTGACCTCTAAAGGGACTCTCGGTTCTGGCTGCTGCTCACCTTCTACATCTACAGCTGCTACGACGACGACAACTAGAACCGCGACGACGACGGCGGGCTCTTCGCTCACATCATCCGACGTTTTTCTGTGCGTGTCTTCTGGATTCATGCGTCGTTCTGTCGGTGTTTAAATTTGTTGGCTCTGAGCATTGCAAGAAGGCACCTCGCCACATCCGCATGCTGGCCGACGGCCAGAAGGATTGAGTCGCTGAACCAGAGCAACGGAATCCTCAGGTTGTCAGGAGATTTAAGTTCCTTCGTCTTTGGTTGCTGCTTGCTCTCGGCGTTTCTGCTCTGGATAGAAAGCCACGCGATTCTCAAGAGCTGCCAAAGATCATCCACACGAGTTGCGTCGCAGTAACGGCCCGGCTTCGCTGGAGGTACTGCACCTGCCAGCCCGAAGGAACCTCCAGCCTTCAACCCTGAACCCAGTATATATATATATATATATATAGAGTATATACAGTAGATACAGTACATATAGTATATATATATATAGAGTATATATAGTATTTGTAGTATATATCGTATACAGTAACAGGCACCAGGGTCTCTGCAAGTTGTTCGAAGAGCTGAGAATGTGGACAGCTCTTCAGACACCATGGCCACATTGGCAGTGAGTGCGGAAGCTACTGGAAGATTTCGTTGGACGCAGGAGATGATGGAGCATGGTGGAGTGTACCCTCACCCTAACCCCCCAGGTACCTACTATATAGGGTACTAGAGCCCCTAGGGCCCTATATAGTAGGTACCTGGGGGGTTAGGGTCACATAGTAAGAAGAGGCCTGGGCCCCGAGCTCCTGATAGGACGGGAAGGCCAAGGATGAAAGCATGCAAGGACAACTAGAACCGAAGAATAACTCTCCTTATCACACCTGAAGCCTTCTTTCGAAATCTTAAACCAAGGCAGCGACGATTCAACAGATGTGACCAGGGCACACAAAGGGAACGCTGCCCCGCTCCATGGGCTTGGCTCACGAAGGTGTCCAGAGCGCTGGTCAGACCCAAACCAAGGCTCAAGGCGCAGCAATTCCTCAGGCACCGACAGGTTCGTGCATCGTGTAATTACGTGTCTTTCATGCTACGAAACGCAATACCAGCACATGCATGCAGACGTGTGTACGGTAGACTGTTCGATAGAAACTAGGACTTGTATGCACGCAGGTGCGACATACGCGCGCACACATGCTACGCTACGCCACATACCGTATCGTCATACATTACACCACGTTGCAGTACCTCACATTAGACTGAACTACCAGATCAGATTGCCCTGCATTGCATTACAATACCGATCTGTCTACCTGTAGATAAAGAAGCAAATAGGCAAACAATAATATACAGATTATGACGCAGTCGAGTACAACTACATCATGGACTGCATATGAACGAGCCGCAACAGAGAGGTGCCATGTCATGCGGTGCCTCTTGCAGCAGTCACCCTGTGTCTGGATCATCGAGGCTTCAATTATTATCCCTTGTGCTTGCGTCGGCTATGTGCATTCGGGTGCCAAGTATTTGCTGAACAGAATACGTGAGCTTCTTCAAGTTCTTACCCTGCGACTGGCATGAACTACATGGCTGGTATTGGGTGATTTTTGCGAAGAGCGAAGGAACTGTGTACTTAATGTACTCGGAGCTGACACGCACATCCACAATGACCGTGCGAGTCAAGAGCCAAGAAAAAAGGAAACATATCAAACATTCACATGGGGGTTTCCGAAAATAGGGGACCCCAATATAGTCCCCCAAATAATAGGTTCCTTTTTATAAGAACCCCAAAAGAAGGTACCCCTTATTTTCGGAAACTCCCACATGTGCTCTCATCATCTCTCATCAACCGAACACAAACTGCTGGGGTGATGTTTCACCAAGCCTGGGACTAAGAATCGCAGAAGACTCAGCTCTCCCTCCTTTGTATGGCATCGGACCAATGGAAGACCGTTGGTATAAGTACAACTAAGAATAGGCCGGCAAAGACATTCAGCTCGGCTACAGCGTGAGTCTGCAATCGCCAGCATTCTCCACTCAGAATCCGAGGTGTGTAATCAATGCCACCGTGTTTCTGCATCATGTTTCCCAGTCCGACTGCCGCGAGCTCTGCGGCGTTCCCCGCGTGGCCTCTTGGCTTCACAGGTTGAGGGCCGTCGGAGTGCTAGCCCTCTGTATGGTGGCCTGACGCACGTGCTTCCACATTCCGAAGCACGCCTCCCCCGTGTGTAGCTGACACGTCTTCACCACAGATGAACCATCAAGTAAACTCGAAGCCAGGGCTTCCATGTAAGTAGGGCCTGAGGGAGGATGGGTAAGATCGAAGTCTGTCTTGCAAGCTTGTGGCCTATGCAGATCGTGTTGCAGATCTCATTCGCCAACATCATGACGTTGTTGAACCTTGGCTGGCTCGAGTAAAGAGACCCTGAGCTGGACGCTCCCAGCCACAAGCCTGATGCAGCAAGGAAGCACCATAGGCAGCCAGAGAGGGAAAACCTCCCCCAGCAGCTCCCATCGTGATGGGACTGCCTCAAGACCAGACAAGGGTTCCTGGGCACCAGCTCGAACTTCCCTGGCTTCCCCGGCCGACATCTGTCGCTTTTGGCAGCACAACTGAGCTGAAGGGTTTAGGGTTTGGGATGCAAATTTGGGCGGGTGACCTTCACGAAATTTGAGTCGCCCTTCTGCACGCATATGACTCCACTATGCATGCTGGAGGTTCTCGTTGCTGAGAATCATGGCTTCGGACCTCATGCGGGAGCTGGGTTGTTCGACTTGAGCTCCGCTTGGGCCAGGGGCAGCAGATATATTGCAGGCTAAACTCGCCAATCAGCGGACAAGGTGCATGCAAGGCACAACGTACTTGACAACATGTCGTTCCGCACATCTGCAGTTTCGGTTCAGGAAACTTATAGAGGTAGCACAACAAGCCGCACATCATCTACGTTGCACAAACGGCTCCGATTGGAAGTTGAGACTTTCCGACCTAACTACTTGCGGCCCTTCGGCCTCTCCAATACATCCGTCATTCTTGCTATGCAGTCTCGCCTTGCCCCGTTATGTCTTGCCTCCCACTCTTGGATGTTCATGGGTAGTTATAAGTGGGATTATAAGTCCCCTGCCATATTATAAGTATAGTAACTCTACTTATAACCCCACTTATAACCACCATTAACCTCCAAGCTCTTTCTGTTGGGCTGATCAGAGGGAACCGCCGGGAGCTTCACGGTAATAAATAGAATACAACATAAAATAAGGCTCATCGTGGACTATAGAGACCTTGCTCTGCGCTGTCCATCCGGATTTAATTTCGACTTCAGGATGCTTCAGGTTAGTTTAGGGTTTAGGGTTTTTTTCCCACCAGTTTAGGGTTTTTTTTTGCCTCTTACATAGCAAGGACGAGCCCGCATTGCAGGGTAGGGGTTTAGGGTTTAGGGTTTGAGTATTGGCGCTTTCCTCAAGCCCGGAGCTGCTACTGGCCAAGGTGCTCGGTCTCATGCCACGTGGCCAGTACTGCCGCCGAGGCGCCTGTCGATGCAGTCCTCAGTGACTCAGAGCAACATGGCGACCCTCACCTCAACTAGCTTTGGGTAAATGGTTACACCTCGGAAGCAAGTAAACTCGTCTTGCGTCTCCCTTCTGAATGCTTGCACATGTAACGACACTTGGGAAAGCATGGGCAGTGTCCGATGTGTCAACCACGTCGATTTTGCCGATCCACAGCTACATCGGCCATGCAACAACCAGGTAACCATCCATCAGCAACAGCTTCACCATATCCACTGCTAGGATTTAGGGTCCGAGTCCACTGCCGGATCGGCCGAGTGACGAGCAGCCCCCGTAGTGGCCGGGACAAGTGGGCCCCCAAAGCCGCGGAGAGGCTCTGGTAGCTTGCCGGCCTGCGTCTTAATGCAGGCACTTAGCAATCCTAACCCGAAACTGAGGCATCTGCACTTCAAGTGCCATGGTGAAGCTAGATTGGTGATGAACCCACAAAGCCAACACGGAAAAGGGGGAAGCCCAAACCCTGAAGCCCGAACCCTACTAAAGGCCTTGATACCTCAAATCCGAAAGCCTCACTCCGAAAAGCCGAGGCCTCTCTTCGCCGAGAAGCGACAGCACTGCCTGGAAGTGCTGCAGAGACCTTGCATGGCAAAACCAAGAATTTGGGACATTGTTTTAGGGATTGTAGATATGTATCAAGTGTCGAAATTGTCGCGCTAGTCCTTGCTCGGAGCACTGACGTCTACTTCTCATTCATGCCAAACAAGAAGAATCACGCACAAGCTACGGTCAGCATTCCTTAGCTGAACTTGGATTTAAATCTAATGGATTCCAAGCTACTAGTCTTCGGGACACAGAGTTCTGAACTCCCCGGCTTATACTTGGTCTGTTTCCGGGATCGAATATCTCTTGACCTCCGGATGACGAACCTGCGGAACATGCAAATGGCGACGATCAGCAGGAGGACGCAGAGGTGATCTGTGTGTGTGTGTGTGTGTGCGGGCAGTATCACTAACACTGATGAAAACTGTGCTCACTGAGTGCCGGTCTCGGGCGCGTCGCTCGCATCCAGGAAGGCCCTGAAGGACTCCCGGATCACAGATGTGTGGGCCAGGTCAGCATCAGATAGCCCGTGGTCTCCTGAAAACGGGGTTCGGCACCGGGCTTCCAGGGTCCAAGATGACGCTTAGAACCAACATGAAGCCTCGCAGAGGCCGAAACACCTTGGCACTCAGTATAGTCTCTCTCTCTCTCTCTATACCTGTATCTGCATGTTGCCTGTCTGCTTTGTTGGCTCCAATAGCAAGCCTGGGAGCACAACAAAAACTGGACGCAGCCGAGCCTGGGCTCGGAGCTTCGCGAGAGTCCGGCGGCGAGATTGGGGGCGAGCACGGCGGTGACCGCGGTGGCGGTGGAGGTGGTGGAGGCGGCAGCACCGCTGATGGTGCCTTGCAGGGGGGGGGGGGGGGGGGCAGATGCTAAGTATGTTCATCGAATGAAGGACAAAACCCATGGAAGGTCACCGCGTCTGCCTGCAGGTCGTCAATATCTTTCAGACTCACCAAAAACAGCAGCAAACCGGCAGAACAGCATAGTGCAGATGTCAGACTCAAGCTCTCCAGTAGCCAATTGTGGCACTGTGTTCTGCCCTAGCGCTGGGCCTATGCATCTTGGAAAAGCTCCTGAACCCAACATAAATCCAAACAAATTTAGTTCGACTTGCTACGTCTTCCTGAAACCCACAATGCCACGGAATGAACCTCTACACCCTAAAATGCCAAATGCACGAACCCTGGCCTGAGGTCCCAATCCACAACACATGCAAAATCTGCACTCCGGAAGAGCCCTACAGTATACCCATAGGNNCCCAAAGTAGTTCCTTTTTGTGGCTGATATTTAGGACCCTATTAGGTAATCCCAAAAAGGAACTGCTATGGGGCCTATGGGGTAAGCTCTTCAACCCAGAGGGCTCGAAGTCGACCCATTCCCCCCGATCGGCTTTCTTTCTTCGTCTAGGGGTTTAGGGTTTAGGGTTTAGGGTTTAGGGGGTTTGAGGTCTCCGGGTTTAAGATTTGACAACTCAGCGTCCCGGCATCTGCAAATGATCAGCCCTGAAACCCGGAACAAAACAAACTCGTAAGCTCCAAGCCGCACTAAACACTTGCTGAGACGACCCTGCCTGCGGCACCGCCGGTTGTGGCTCTTTGGCGCCTGCCCGGAAGGCCCCGCACCCCATAGCGAACACTCCTCAAACTGGGTTGGTTTATTTATAACGTTCAAAAGGTAGGGGTTCTGGTGGTTGGTTCTGTGAGGTTCGTCAAGGTGGGGTCTCAGGTCTTTTCAGTCGGTTATCCTACGGGTTCCGCGTCTCGGGCAGATGTGTTGAGCGGTTGCTACGTCTTGTCCTCTACCATTTGGGGCTTCGGGTGTTGGGCTTACTGTAGGGTTTTTGACATGAGCTAAAAAAGTTCTAGACTCTGAACACACACTTCACCTCGGCCCTATCTTTTTGAGCCAAGTTAAGAGCAGGCAGTCCCAGTACCCCAGCCTATGTCGGAAGTGTTGCTTGCATATACAAACGTACGACATTCATACCTTCATAGCTGCCTACAGACATGAATGCATGCAATGCAGTGGAGCCTCTATGCACCTGAAATTTTTGAAATATCAGATTACTACACACCTCGCCTGGCGATCCAACCCGAGCTTGCAGCGAAAACTTATTCAATTCATGGTTTAGGCCCGTTTCCCTAACCCTGCAGGTACCTACTCTGTAGGGCCCTAGGGGCTCTAGTACCCTATATAGTAGGTACCTGAGGGGTTAGGGTTTAGGCCCGTTTAGGCTGAGACTCTGAAGGTCCACCAATGTCCACGTCACGTGCCTGTTCTTGCCGCTGCCGCTGACATCTAAATATAGACCCACATAACCCTAACCCCCCAGGTACCTACGATATAGGGTACTAGAGCCCCTACTTGTGGGGCCCTATATAGTAGGTACCTGGGGGTTAGGGTAAGATGAGGGTGAACCCCCAACCCGAAACGGTCAACACCTAAACCCTTAGTCAAGCCTGGACGTCTCCTGAACCCAAAAGGCCCTCAGCCCTAACCCTGACCCCTCAACAGTCCTTACCTTCTGCCCGAGGTCTTCCTGAAGGGTCCCAAGCTCTCCCCCAGGAAGCAAACGATCGGGGGGTTAAAGCTTGCACTCGGACAATGCCAGGCATGGTCTGCAAACAAGATTGGGATTTATAGGGAATCGCATTCATTCTGAACACATGGCAAAGCGCAGACTCTGCAGCATCAAAAGGGCCATTTAACACCACGGGGTTTAGGAATGTTTCGGGTTTAGAAGAGTTGAACAGAACAAGTTCATCATCATGACCTCCGTGATAGGAATTGAAAGCATGGCCGCAGTGGTCAGATTTTGTCCGTTGCTCACGCCTCGCGCAGCACCTGGAGATGCAAACTCGGCGGCGCGAGCCTGTCACGGTCTGAACCCGAGGCCGTGTGAGCCTTCGTTTAAAGCTTATGACAACCGAACACTGTGGGGATTTTCGAAAATGGGTCTGCTTTCTTGCGAGTCTGAAAATTAGCGCCCGGCGGCTTAACATTCAGGGTGCTAAGGAGGCGTCACCACTCCGAAAAGCTTCTCGCGAGATTTCCTTTCACAATCCTCGAGGGTCCGTGCGGTTTCGACTCTCACACTCGCACAAGGTCGGCAAGGCTCCTCTCCATGCGGTTTAGGGCCAGATGCAACTCTCCCCTTGCCTTCATCATTTCAACGAAGTCCACGTAATCTTCCGCCGGTGAAAGCCTCGTCAGGGCTCCAGAATACGGCGGGTTCTCATTCTGCTAGACTCGAAACAACCTTCATGACGGGAAACTTTGACTGCCATCAGCCCGGACAGCCGGACCAAGTCTACTCATGGAAGACATAAGTCGCACAACACCCGGATCCAACGAGTCATGCTGTTGGCGGCAGTGCCATCACCAAACTAAACAAGCCCGGCACCGTGCCCAAAACAAAATGCGCACAACGTCAGGAGACATGGGGAAATGCCTGAACTACAAAATACCAGCTGCTCATGCAGTCAGATTTGCGTTTCAGCTTGGGGTTAAGGGTTCAGGTGTCCTGCTTGCGACCTTATCTAAGGCAGCCGGCAGACTCGGAGGTTTCCGAAAATAGGGGGACCCTAGTATAGTACCCCAAATAGTAAGATCCTTATTATAAGGATCCCAAAATAAGGTCCCACTTGCTGCCAAGGCTCAGAAACAAAAAGTCCTGCAAGGCCGGAGGCCTTGCCAACAAAATGAGGATGCTGCTGATGAGGGTTTTTGGGTTTAGGATTGAGGGTTAGGGTTTAGGGTTTAGGGTTTAGGGTTTAGGGTTTGGGGTTGATGATGATCAACAGGATGGCAGAGAGGATAGTCGCGAAAAGATGGTAATGATGAAGGAGGAGGAGATGAAGGTGAATGAATGACGTGATGGCTGCCACTGTATAACAAACTACTAAGTATCCGGATTTGACAACTTCCTGAAAACCAGTGCGACAAGCTTGGAGTCTCGAAGATACCCATGCGCTATAGAATCCCAACTTGCAGCATGCAAGTCAGAAGCCCAGCACAGCCCAACCCTTCAGTCCAGGTGCTGGCCCATCAGGGGCAGCTGGTGCACCAAAAACTCGGCCAACCTTGGCAGTTGGTTTGAGTACATGCCTGGAACAAAGAGAGTGGACGTCTCAGTGTGGGCATTGTCTGCAGTCCGTGCAAGTTTGGGCAGTCTTGCATGCTGGTACCCACTCCGGGAAGCGTTGTGCGGCTGCTGCAACTATTGTAAGCTGACAACACGGGATTCCACATTGATACAGCTCTACGTACACTTCTATGCTCCCAAGAAGTGGCGGCGAAAGGGGCCAAGTAACTGGCCGATCTCCAGGCCTGCAGCAAGCAAGGCCTGGTGTTGCATTGAGGTGGTTTCTGTCTTCTTATGAGTTGAGTGCAGGCACTCAGGCTGCCCTCCGTGGGCCACGGCGACGACAACGGCGCAGGGAGGACCACAGCAAGGACAACAGGATAACAGAAATAAATACGTTACCAACAAGACTGACCATGACCGCCATCCCCACCGCACCAGCCCAGGCTACTGGTAGACGCAAACACAACTGAAGCACCACCTCTTCTGAAACATGATTACCCATAGGCCCTAAAGTAGTTCCTTTCTGGGGTTCATATATAGAATCCTATAAGGTAACCCCCAAAAAGGAACTACTATGGGGCCTATGGGTACACCCACGGCAGTGCCAAGACACCTGAACCATGGCCGGGAAACCAACGACAGTGGTTTTAGGCAAAACAAACTTTTGGGCTACTGTTGACTGTAGGTGCAGCTGTACCTATAGTCTCCATTGTAGTTCCTCTTTGGGGATACCTTATAAAATCCTGAATATATATACTTGGTTAAACCAGAAAAAGGAACTACAATGGAGACTATCGGTAACTCCTGCTGTGCGGCACTACCATCAACTAGCCGTGCTGGAGCTGTTACGAGGACCCCCTTTCGGATCGGAGGGGCCCCCCCATGCTGGAGACCTCTCTGGAGAACGCTTCCTGTAAGGTTTAGGTTTCAGGGTTTAGGGTTTAGGGCCGATGCTTGGTGAGCCGCGATAAAGAAGACAAACTTTCGAACTGCTCCTGCAGCTACCAGTACTGCTCCCCTTCTTCCTGTCCCTGGCAATCTGCCACGATGAACCTCGAGATGAGCAAAACAAATCAAATCCTCGGCCTCCTCGGCTGCGAGCTCGAACAGCCGCACAAACCTAGCGGAAAAGGAAGAAGCGCGGGAGGTACAGGATCAAGTTTCGGGCCCTGAGGCTTCGGAACTTCCGCAGGCTGCAGCTCCACATGGGAGCTCAACGAATTCTTTGCTTCAAAGGACTACAGCAACTGCCTCGCCCGAATCTCTAAGTACCCACCCCTACAAGCAGCCTTTGGTGCAGCGAGTACCACTCGTGCCGATGCTCTTGAAATCTGACCTCAGCCGCAAGGCTGCTCTGAGGAATGTCGTGCAGAGCCCTGATCGACTCAAACTTCGCATGATGACGGCCACAGAGCTTACAAACTTACTTGGGAGTTTCCGAAAACAAGGGTACCCTATTTTGGGGTCCTTATAATAAGGATCCTGTTATTTAGGGCACTATATTGGGGTCCCCTATTTTTGGAAACCCCCACTTCTACATCTTCTACATCCTCTACATTCTACAGGCTGTTCTTCAATATGAAACCCCCACCTCTCTATTCAGCTATCAGCCAACACCTTCGAGCCTGGACTCGAACACAGAACTTTGGCCTCGGGGCCTTTTGATGGTTGCGTTTTAGTCATTCGGACCTGGATTCCCTGCAACATAACTGTCGAAGAGGCGTGAAAGGTGCACCAGTTCTCCTCAGTGAACGCCTCCAGGTCTCTCCTGCCCGACAAGGGGAACGTGGGATCGTGCGAAATGCCTCTGTCCGAATCTCATGAACTGTATAGGTCATGTAGTGCAGGGTTTTATAGTAATCCGAGGAACAGAGACCTCACGAGGCTTTCTGGCTGAGAGTTGCCAGAAGCTCTTTACTCGCCTCCGTGAGCTGGAGGAGAGATGGCGGCTGAAGGCCACGACACCTTGGGGAACCTCAGTCGGGCTGACTGCTCAGATTGGGGATTCGGATCTGTCCGTTTGGCATCGCGGTCCGGACATGCCGGAACGGGATCTACGTCGGGGAAACTGAGAACACTTAACAGTTGAGTCTGACTAGGTGGGAAAATTATTCCGACCAATGAGGGCCCGAATGCAGCGTGGCAGCATGATGGATGCAGGTGTCGTCCGGAGAGCAACGAGAACTAGCAGTGCCCCGCAAGTCGACAGCACAAAGTCTTTCAGTACCGGCCGTGTCAAGCGTCATGTCACTAAGCACGCTTGAATAGAAACCCATGAGACCTACCGACCGAGAAATGATGCCAGGGTGCTCTCCTCGACGAGGAGCTCGGATCTTCCTGCGGGAATCATGTAGGGGGGCCTTAATACTTAGAATAGGATTTTTTGGGGCCCATAATCATACTATAATTGTAATCAGGAACCCCCACAACACTATATTGATAATTCTTTAGGCCCCTATATTAGACTTCCTTCATCCTCTAGCTCTGAAGCCAAAGAACCCAAGTGAGAAAAGCACACAATCCCAAAGTAAGTGCGGCTTTTATCGTCATCAGTTGTGATAAAACCTGATGATGCTCCCAACCAAAACAAGTAGCTGTTGTACACGAACAGCACGGCAAAGCAGTAATCAAGGTCAGGATGCTAGACATAAGGGGTCATGATCTCTTTTTACTCTCGTTCTAGCCGCCGCGCCGACCTCGACGAAGCTGCACTCCGTTTGGGCCAGAGTGGTCCTCAGCGGGCCAACCCCAACATATCCCAACAGAACCCATGCTGATAATGGGCCCCGTGCTTCCTTTGGGGGAGTTTTGGGGAGTTTGCAAGTCGCATTCTTTCGGGATACACTCTCTAACACCCTGAAGTTTGGGACTGCGGGTTTCGGGTATCCCAAAAGAGCTTGAAAGTTGTGGATCTGCCTCTTCAGCACACTCTGCGAGAAGCTCGGGGGCTTCGAACTGAATGGATGTGATGCAAAGCCTTACAAGGGGAGGGGTGGATGTGGAGCTCCAGGTATTGCCGGGTCACAAGCCCTGAAATAAAACGGGTAATATGTGGGCCGTCATAGGTTTTTGGGGGGGATTCGACCCCAAATCGGCTGGTTCCGGGACGGAGGAAAATGAGGGTTTCAGAAGTAGGGGACCCTAATATAGTACCGCAAATACTTACTATAAGGACCCCAAAATACGGTACCCCTTATTTTCGGAAACTCCCACATGTTTACAGTCTGCAGGAGCCCAGCAGCTTCCCAGAAGCCACAGCTTTCATCGTTTCCAGAAAGTCGCTGAACTCCTCTGCACTTGTAGGTTCATGGGTAGTTACAAGTGGCGGTCATAAGTATAGTTACCCTACTTATAACCCCATTTTATAACTACCCATGAACCTCCCAAGTACATTGATGCCAGGTTGCTAAAAAAATGAATAACGGTAGCAACTTGACATATAATCCCACTCGGACCGGATTACTTGACCTCACTCCTGCTTCAGGGCAGCTGAGGTCTGCTATACATGAAAAACCGACTCGCGAAAGCACGGGTGGACGTGAATTTCATGTTTTCCCTCCCGCCTGGCTAGGGTTTAGGGTTTAGGATTTAGGGTTTAGGTGGACGTGAATTTCATTTTCGTTTTAAACAAGGTAATGTATGGGGCCTTGGTAATTAGAACTAATTATTAAGGCCCCATATTTTCAGGACTTCCACATAAAGTGGCCATCAGTTCTGAGTGGCGTGCCGCAGGAATGAGGACCAGGCTGAAAGCGGAACCCGAGATCAGTCTTCGCTCGATTCAGGTTGGAAGTATTCCTCTGACTAGACATACACCCGCCATCCTAGGATAGAAATGCAAAACTCTTCACAACCCGTCCTCGCAGGAGGTTAGCTTGGACAGAAAGACGTCCCACTCCTCCGCTTCCTGCTTCGGGGCATCGGTTGATGGGAGAACGTCTTCGGCTCTACTTAGAGGTTCATGGGTAGTTATAAGTGCGGTTATAAGTCCCCTAATATGGGTTATAAGTATAGTTACCCTACTTATAACCCCATTTATAGCTACCCATGAACCTCCAAGTAGTGGTGTTCTCTGATGAGGGCTCTATGCGAAGCCACGAGTCGGTTGCCTCTTACAGTACTACGGGTCTCCCTCCCTCTGCAGTGGGTGTCTTGCTTTCTCCTCTGCTCTTAAGATGGCTGGGGAGGCGATGAAAAAGCATCCAGCCAAGAAGCCAACCCTAAACCCTGTTGCTGCAGGCTCACTCTTCAACCCTAAACCCTAAACCCTAAAACCCTATTGCATCCGGTCTGCAGCGACCCTAAACCGTAAAACCCCAAAGCCCTGACACCCTAACACCCTAAACCTTACAGGAACCCTATAAAACCCAAAACCCTCAAAGGAACCTTAAAACCCTGAAGCCCTAAACCCTATCAGTGATCCTCTGTGAAGGCGGCCATTCAGACCAGGGCTGCAATCCCAATTTGTGGGTCCCTGGCGTCTCCGCCTGTCCACCGCCTCTACCTCCACTGCTTACTAATGCAGCATCATGTAATTCAGTGCAGTAGAGTATGGTGTCAAAAAAATCAGTGGCAAGTTGCAGAAGACTATTCAGCATGTAGTAGAGTATACAGTGTTATATAATACAGCTATACTTCCCTCCCTTCACCCAAAAACAATGCGCTACTCACCATCTCGCGGTATGTTGATCATGTGCACCCCCACGGCCTGGCCGCTGAGATTCTTTGCATAGCCTGGCTCGGGCTCTCTGCACTCTCAGGATTTGAGGTTCGAAAGTGTTCGCGCTACTGTGCTATACAATATCGTACTGTGCGAGATTTTGCTGTATATTATATTAGACTAATAAGCTACAGTTCTCAACTTGTCAACGCCTCCATGACCCACCTTTCAAAAAAGTGCAGGAAACGTCCCAAACGGGCATGCTGAACCAGGACGCCAGCATACTGCATTGAGCCCCATACTCGACGCAGGATGCAAGGCATGTAGATCGGAATAGATCAGTGCCCTAACGACGAGTCTGGGATACCACATAATCCTAATGTCATCCTGCATGGATCCCAATTTTGTTCATGTGAGTAGCGACCAGCGAGCTTCACGAAGTCTTCCTGCTTCATCCCTTCGCGTGCCAGAAACCTCAGCAACGAACCCAAAGTCTAAGGATTTCAGTGCTCACACTGGGACTCGTCATGGGAAGCATGTGTTTATAGGTCTGATGGGTGAAAGATGAGGCATCGGCCACCTAACAAGGATTTATCGTTTCACCATGCATGTGAGAAAAGGGGCAAGACTTTATCGAGAGCTTCCTCTGCTTCCAGGCACGTCTTATTTCAAGCGCTCAACCATAAAGGCACTGCAACCCAGCCACTGCTGCAAATGGTCCTCGTAGAGTCGACGATACCTCATGGAAAAAAAAGAGCACATAGGTTGGATGATGCCACCTTTTCCTTGATGGCTGTCTGGAATTCCTGCTGCGTGCGGTCCGAGCCTTACCCTAACCTTTTGACTGCTATGTCTTTCTGGAAACGAGGTCCGATCCACCCCTCTTGAAGTCCGTAGAAACTCACCCTATGCTTAAAAACCCAGCATCATGTTCCTCACACTTTAGGATGCGGTTGGTATCGCACACCCTGCAAACGCGCCTCCCAATCAAAGCGTGTTGTAAGTAAAGGCCCTAAGCCCAACCAAACTCCAAAACCCCCCCCCATTTCTGAAGACTCGGAACCCTAAATCCAAATCTCAATCAGACAACCAACCAGCCAAAATCCCAAGCTGTCCAAGCAAAGAGACTCCTCATGGAGCCCATGCCAGCTATGGTCACAGGGGCCACCCTCCTTTGGTCGAGGACTATAAATATTCACAGATACATACACACATACATACATGCATACATACATACATACATACATACATACATTCATTCATTACATTACATACATACATACATACATACATACATACATACATACATACATACATACATACATACATACATACATACATATATGCATGCATGCATGCACACATCCATCCATCCATCCATCCATCCATCCATCCATCCATCCATCCACAATACAACACAATGCAATACCATACAATACGAACAATACAATGCCATACATCCCTACGTACATACATACATACATACATACATACATACATACATACGTACATACATACGCACTTACATACATACACACATACATACATACATACATACATACATACATACATACATACATACACACATACATACATACATACATACATACATACATACATACATACATATATGCATACCTGCATACCTGCATACCTGCATACATGCATACATGCATACTTGCATGCATACATGCATACCATACCATACCACACCATACTACCATACATAAATATATAAATATATAGATATGCCTATATGTGTGGTGTGGTGTGGTGTGCTGCGGTGTGAAGTGGTATGGCATGGCATGGTAACCTACATTACATTCCAGGTACCCCCAAAACGGAGTAGGCTTTCGCTATCAGGTTTAAGTGCCGCAGGCAGTGACATGTAGACACACAAGAGCTGCCTGTGATGTCGGTGGCGTTCTCTTCAAGCTCCTGCAATGCAGTCGACACAGCAAGCGAAACAAAGGCATGAACAAAGCTGTTCTTACGTCCGTCTAAACGCAGGTAGCTCAAAGGGCACGCTCATTCCGAAGAAACCTTTGCAACGCCTTGGGTACGTCATCCCTAAACCGCGAAGCCAAAACACTCCCGCAACCCTGAACCCGAAACACCAAACCCCTATAACCCCAAATCCCCTAACCCTAAACCCCTAAACTCCAAGAAACCGGACTGGACACGAAAAATGCAACAGGTCAGTTTTGAAGGTTAGGGTTTAAGGGTGTAAGTAGAATCTTAAGTAGATCCCAAGGGCTGCAAAGGCTCCTGTTTTTGCGAGGCTTTGGACCAGGGAACCTACTATCTAAGCCTCTGGGCTGCTTTGAGATTCAGCTCTGAGGTTTGTGGTTTAGGGTTTTAGGGATTTGGGTTTAGGGTTTAGGCTTTGGGGCTTAGGTTTTAGGGCTTAGCGTTTAGGACTCTTGCCGTAGGGTTTTAGGGATTTGGGTTTAGGGAATTTAAGGTTTAGGCTTTGGGGCTTTAGGGTTTAGGGCTTAGCGTTTAGGTTTTAGGGATTTGGGTTTAGGGAATTTAAGGTTTAGGCTTTGGGGCTTAGGCTTTGGGGCTTAGGGTTTAGGGCTTAGGGTTTAGGACTCTTGCCGTAGGGCAGGTGGATACAATTAGAACCTCTCCAAAGCATAGAGCCTAAACCCCAAACTTAGCCCTAAACCTTGAACCCAAAACTTGGCCCTAAACCTTAAACCCTTCAGTCTTGAAGCCCCATTCTCAGTCTTCAAGCAAGTTGACAACCGTCCGAGTAGTACCCATTCATTGTATGAATGAGCGGAAGAAGCTTTAGCCCCATTCCCGGCAATCAAGACCAGGAAACCCTAGGCACCAACGACCCGAGCTCTCTTCTGGGTCCCGTCCCTTGAGTGGCTTAGGGGTGTAGGGCTGAAGAGCCCTAAATCCTAAAACCCTCAAACCTAACCCCTTAAGCCCTATAAATTAAACCCCTAAACCCTCAAACCCCAAAACCCTAAACCCCTAAGCCCCTAAACCCTAAACCCTTTAGGGTAGCTTACGATCTGCTGGTTCAGGGGTTAGGGCTCAAGATCTCCTTGGTAGGTTCCGAAAGCTCCTAAGGAGGAGCCCTGCAGTCTCTTCTGAAGGTTTAGGGTTTAGGGTTTAGGGGTTTAGGGGTTTAGGAGTTTAGGGGTTTACGGCTTAGGAGTTTAGAGGTTCAGAGGTTTAGGGTTTAGGGGTTTAGAGGTTTACGGTTAAGGAGTGTAGGGGTTTAGGGATTAGGGCTTTAGGCTCGCAGAAATCCCCGCAGGGAGCGCGTGCGCAAAATTCATCAAGATCCTGGACCCGAAATGCTACGGAAGAATACACAGAAAGCCCTTAACCCTGCATCCGAACCACAAAGCCCTGGGTTTAGGGTTTAAGGGTTTGGGGTTTAGGAAGGGCTTGGGGTTTAGGGTTTAGGGCGTATGGGGTTTAGGGTTAAGGGTTTCACCCGAAGCACCTGAACTCGCAACGCAGAGCACTGAACCTTTAGGCCTGAACCCCGTAGTAAATAATCACCAAACACGGAACGGAAGCTTCATTGGGTCTAGGGTTTAGCGTTTAGGGGTGCATTGAACTAGCGGACCCTAATACAGAGCCCTTCTCCAAAACCAAGCCTAAAACCCATTAGCATTGTAAGTCACTAAACCCAAGCAGCCCCATGAATGAACTATAACGATCCTGAAACCCCTATATAGACTCTAGACGACATATATTGAATTAGAGATCCCTGCGACTTCATTGGTTTTTCTACCCAACAACATTCCCTAAACCCTAAACCCTTAGACCCTTAAACCCTAAACCCTAGATTTCTGAATCCTAAACCCTAAACTCTTAAACCCTTAAACCCTTAAGCCCTAAACCCTAGATTTCTGAATCCTAAACCCTAAACCCTGAAACCCTTAAGCCCTAAGCCCTAGATTTCTGAATCCTAAACCCTAAACCCTTAAACCCTTAAGCCCTAAACCCGAGATTTCTGAATCCTAAACCCTAAACCCTCAAACCCCTAAGCCCTAAACCCTAGATTTCTGAATCCTAAACCGAAACAACAAAACATGTCCTTCGGGGGCTCTGGAGGAGGTGGGGGCGGCGCATCCTCGAAAGGTACCAAGGCTTCTAGGGCTTTATTGGCTTTGGGGTTTAGGGTTTAGGGTTTAGGGTACCAAGGCTTCTAGGGCTTTATGGGCTTTGGGGTTTGGGGTTTAGGGTTCCCCAAACCCTACACCCTAAATCCCTATGTAGGGAGTATTGAGGCTTTTGGATCTTGTGCATGTTCTAAGTTTGGTATTTTTAATCTTAGACTCTAGTTTTTCGGTGTGTCGATGGCCTATAAGAGGGTTCTAGATGGGCCCTATACAGCTTCGAAAGGGTTCCACAGGGGTTTTATGGTTTCTGTTTTCTTAATTTGGTCCGGGCTTTGCGCGTTGAGCTGGTAATGTAGGGGCCTTAATCATTAGAGTAGGGTTTTGGGGGTATATTATAGTACGCCCTACAGCTACGCGGTGGTGACCTGCTAGTATATCGGGTCTGCCTGCAGCCTCAAACCCACAAAACAGCAGGTTGTAAAGGACCCCTTATATACTTGTAGGGTGAACTCCCTAGATCGGGTAGGTTTTTGGATCCAAGCCTTCCGGAATCCCAGGACCCTCTTACGAGCCGTATGCTAACTCTCACACACGCAATGCACGAAAACCTAACCGCCAAAAGATAGAAATCATTCTGAAAATCCTAAATCCTCAGTTCTCAAGCAACATGTCCTCGACACTGGAAAATTAAATCCACAGGAGAACTCATCAAATGGAACAATAGATCGCGAACTTTCGAGATCTATCGAGGGTTTCTTGTTGCGACATCGGGAATATATCTTTTGCCCTACACCGCTGCAGAACTCCACAAGTAGGTCATGAAAGTGCCCGCGTCGTGCACATAGCCGAGTTCCACAGCATGGTCGTTCACAAAGAGCCATCGCAGCTTGGACGTGCAGGCCAGGCAGGATTGATGCCTGCTCCCAGAGACTCCAATATCCCTTAATTAAGGAATATACCTTAAATCATATTGGGGATCCTACTACAATTTAAGGTATATTCCTTAATTAAGGGATATACCTTAAACCATATTGGGGATCCTACTACAATTTAAGGTATATTCCTTAATTAAGGGATATTGGAGTCTCTGGGCTCGATGCTTCATATCCTCCCAAGTCGTCTGTCCTGACGAAGAGCAGACTTTCATCCGAAAGGTCTGCAAGCATGCCGAGCAAGATTATTCTTTGGGTTGACGATATAAACCCTGCATTACCCATACTAAGGATTGCCATATACCTAAACCCTAAACCCTAAACCCTAAACCCTAAACCCTAAACCCTGATAATTCCCATCTGACGTAATGCAGGATTTATATCATCAGCAGTTTCTCCTCGTCGCGCCAACCGAGAAAGGCCTGGGCT